GAAATTGCCAAATGGGAACCAATTTTCTGTGCAAACGTTCACCGAAAGCATGATAAAATATTTTTTTTAAAAAAACTCAGACCCGGTAGCTTAAGAGTTTACATTTTCCTATAGGGATCCTTACGTAAATGTTACCATTAAAAAAAAAAAAAAAAAACATACTGAATTTTTCCCCTTCACCAAGGGGCCATCCACACAAAGCTGGACCCAAACCTCCCTGAATGGGTCCCCTGTTCCTGGCTACAGGAACTGTGGTGGGAGTTGATTGATGCCAGGAAGGGAGGTTGGAAGCCAGTTTTTTGTTCGTTTTTTGTTTAAGATTCTTTCATGTTTTGCTTTCTGTTTCTTTTGAAACTTTTTATTGTGAATTGAGTGAAGGTTTACAGAGCAGTTTTACATTCAATAAATCATACAGGTTATTTCATTGCAATGATAGCAACACCTTCAATGTGATATCACTTATCCTCCTTCCTCCCTGTGTTTTAGTTCCATTCCTCCTTCGTTCCCAACCCTTCGGAACTGGGTCCTTGGGTCAATGCTGTCTTTTTTATCTCGAATGGTTAACCATTCTGTGGTGTGTATATCTCACTAGTGCTAATGTCCCCTCGATCTACCTATTGTTGTTGTAAAGTGCCATCGAGTCAGTTCTGACCCATAGCAAACCTGTCTAGGACGACCCTGTCTAGGGTTTCTGAGGAGCAGCTGGTAAGCGTGAACCGCCGACCTTGCAGTTCAAACAGTTTTGCAGTCTGGCGCATTAACCCACAGCGCCACACTAGGACTCCTGATCGATCTACCTATTACTTGGATAAAAACTGAGCCAGGGGGGTGAATTCCGTTTCTGACCTAAAAGGTGACTGAGGACCATAGTCTTGGCCTTCTACCAGTCTCTACCGAAAACAGTAAAACTAGTCTTTTTTATGATTTTGAGTATTCTTCCACATTTTCTCCTACACTGTCCAGAGCCTGGAAGCCAGTCTTTAAAGGCCTCATGTGCCACTCACATGTTTGAACTTTACTTAGTAGGCCAAAGGAAGCCAAGGAGCATTTTTGGATAGCAGCCAAGGAATGAGACTGTTGAGCCTACAATCCACTCTAGTTCCTGACACTGAGGACATACATCAAAAAAAAGTCAGAACCAGAGGAAGGAGAACCCTTGAAATGCCAGGTAGGCTCCAAAGTGGTACAAAAGATGACCCCAACTAACTACATACCAACCACCTAGACTGGTGTTTGGACTCCTAGTGTGGTACTATAGGATCAGTTGGACTGCTACCCTCAGGTCAGTGGTTTAAACCCACCAGCCGCTCCACAGAAGCCCTATACAGGGCTGCTATAAGTCGGAACTGACTCAGCAACACTTAACATCAACAAGGCCTGTGTTTGGCTGGTAAGTGCTGAGTAAAGGCATGTGGAAATGAATGACTGAGGCTCTGTGGCCTTGGGAGACTTTTGGAGGAAAGGCCCTCTGGTCTTGGGCACTGAGAACATTTTTCATATTCTCACTCCTGTGGCTTGGGGTGCGAGTGACCCTGGCCTGGGCTGTCATCTCTCAAGGACTGCGACCATATCATATTCATGCTTTGTTACCCTCCGATGTCTTGTCTGGGAACATAATGAAGAAAAATAAAAAGATACTGAACTCTATTAATAACATTATGTTTAGTATTTAATGGTGACATATACTGATGTCCTGGTATGGCGCTGTAAGATAAGCACTAGCGTGCAAACCACAATGTTGGTGGTTCAAACCCACCAGCTGCTCTTCAGGAACCCTACCTACAATCGCTGTGAGTCGGAACCAACTCAACTGCAGTTAACAACAATACTGGTATGGTATAATTTACTCTGAAATGAAACAAAAAAATTAATTAATGGATACATATAGAGTAAATGTGATAAAATATATAGTGAAGTGTTATTTTGCAGAGTCTAGATGATGGATATTCACTGAAGAAGTCTTTTAACTTTTCTGAATATTTGAAATTTTTCAGAATATAGCACTGAAAACTACACATATGAAAAACTTTCTTTGGAGGGTCCTTAGGAATTACCTCAAAGAAATGAGCAGTTATCAGTCCCAGCAGCCAAAACGGAGGCATCAATGTGACTGTGAATCCAGACCATCGGGATGCCATTTACCTGAATTCTCCCCAGCTCTTCCACCATCTCCCCACAAAATAAACACCACACAGGCAGATGCTTCAAATGACAGATTTTGCCTTGAAAGCCAACTGTTTCTCACATGGGCAAATATGGCCATCTCCCAAGTATGGGACCATTAAACTAATAATCAAAGGAAAAAAAGAAAGCAGTTGCTGGCGAGTCCAGAATTCTGACTCCTGGTAACTCCATGTTTGTCAGATTAGAACTGTGCTGCATAGAGTTTTCAAGGCTGTGACCTCCCAATGCAGATCACCAGGCCTTTTCTTTCAAGGTCTGGCCCACCCCCATTTCTGTTAGTTGCTGTGGAGTCTATATAGGGTTTACGAGAGTGGCTGGTAGGTTTCAACGGCTGACCTTGCGGATTCCAGTCCAGAGTTTATTCTACATACAGTGCTATACCAGGGATTTTTCTGTTCCTAGTCCTGAGAACCCCAGCAAGATGGATTGGCCAAGTGGCAGCATCAATGGGCTCAAGCGTGGAAACAGTAGTGAGGTTGGCCAAGGATTGGGCAGTGTTTCGTTCTGCTGTGCATAGGGTCGGTATGGGTCAGTACTGACTCGAATGCACCTAACAACAACAACAACAAATACTGAGCTTAGCTATTGACTCCATGCAGGATTTTAATGATTTAACAAGAGTTAATTATTCTCCCAAACAATGAAGAGGCAAGTTTGTCCCAGAATAAAGGGGAATCCTATTAAAAATGAATACATGTTATGAAAAACTCATTATATTATATGTATTTTTCTTAATTCATCAAGTATTTATGAACACATTAGTGTAAATGTAGTAACCACTGAGTACGGAAAGAGGCCCCAAGAAGCTGACTTCTAATCTTGCCTCTGCCATTAACTAGCTTTATGTCCTTGACACCACATTTCTCCGCATCACTTTAAGAATTGATGAAAAACTCAGCTATGCGAGTGGTGCTGTAGGATAAACACTGGACTGGTAACTGCAAAGTCAGTGGTTCACACCTACCAGTTGCTCCTCAGAAACTCTATCCGACCCGACAGCACTTAACAAGAAGTTTTTTGTTATGTGCCGTGGGGTCGGTTCCGACTCATAGCGACCCTGTACAGGGTTTCCAAGTCTATAAATCTTTACAGGAGCAGAAAGCCTCATCTTTCTCCCACAGAACAGCTGGTAGTTTCGAACTGATGACCTTGAGGTTCACAGCCTGATTTGTAACCACTGTGCTACCACAGCTCCTTTAACAAGAAGTGGCAAATAGTAAAGGACTGGAACGAGAGGAAGGATTTTCCAAAACCTCAGAGAAGAATGGCAGATTTCACAAACAAGGAACCACTAACACAGTGACGAGCACTGGAGCATCAATACCCTAGTCACTAAGGGTTCCTGGAAGGAGCTGGGTGGCACAGTGATTTCAGTTGCTAACCAAAAGGTGAGGAATTCAAACCCACCAGCATTTTGTAAGATAAAGATGTGGCGGTCTGCTTTTGTTAGATGATAGCCTTGGAAACCTTATGCGGCAGTTGTACCCTGTCTTATAGGTCACTCTGAGTCAGAATCGACTTGATGGCAACAGGTAGGAGTCCCTAGGTGGTTAAGCACTGGACTACTAGCCAAAAAAGTCTGGCTGTTTAAATTCACTCAGAGGCACTTTGGAAGACAGGCCTGACGATCTGCTTCCTAAAGGTGATTAACTTTGAAAACCCTATGGAGCAGGTCTACCTTACACATACAGAGCCTTCATCTGTCATAAATCAGAACTGAACGGCAGCAACAATTAACAATCAGAAGTACTAACAGGGTCCAAAGGGCGCTAGGCAGGATGAGAAAAACACAACTCTAGCGGTGCTGTAGAATTAGCACTGGACTGCTAACCACAGAGAGGGCGGTTCAAATCCACCAGCTAGCCACTCCTTAGAAGCCCTATACAGACTCTTCATCAGCTAGATGGAATCATGTATGTATCTTGTCTTGTCTCCAACTAGGTTTTAAGCTTCTCAAAGGTGTTGTTCTTACCTCATTGGACTTTGCACAACTTGTGTTACCAGAGTACCTGGCACATGCCAGTACTCAAAGAAAATAAATGCATCGTTTAAATCTCTGGCTTTAAATTGCCGGGACTCAAAGAAAATAAATGTATCGTTTAATCTCTGGCTTTAAAATGCTAGGCTTGATTTTTTTTTTTTTTTTTAAGTGCAAATGAATAATGACTACGAATGAGTATATCTTGGTGCTAAGCCACTGAGATGAGAAAATAAGGTCCCTGTCCCATATTGTTGTTGTTAAGTGCCATCCAGTCTGTTCCGACTCACAGAAGCCCTGTATAGGGTTTCCGAGGAGTGGTCGGTAGGTTTGAACCGCCGACCTTGCGGTAGGGAAGCAGTCCAGATTTTATCTTACAAGCAGCCCAGTGTTTATCCTACAGAGCCACAATAGTACTCCACAAAGATGAAAGATTTAGGAAGGTCAAGGCTGGAGATTCCTACTTGCCCGCAACACCCCTCTCCCCCATTTCTTTTTGCAGCTACAGCTCTTCTGCCTCTTTTCCCGGGCGCCTGCATTCCTCCCTCAAGCTGTGACCTCTGTCCCAGCTGGCAACCGTGCAAATTCCGCAGCCAGCCACCGCACCCTATTGCTGAGAACAAATGCTGCAGATTTGCAAGCATTTCTAGGAGCCCACTGTCCCACGCCCCAGAACCCTCTCCCCCGCTTCCACAACAATGTAACAGTCCACCATGACTGAAACACACCACCCCTCGGTTCCGTGATCAATGGTACTGCCCCTACGAACTACTCCCCGCCGAGAAGCTGGCGCCGTTATTCGCGGACCCTCGAATAGCAGGTGGAGCATGTAGTTTACCTGCGTGGGCCGCTGCTCCTTCCAGAGCTTCATCTGGTCGCTGGCTGGGTCCCGGCTGTCCGCCATGGTGTACAAGAGAAGTTGCAGAACGTTCCGACTTGTTTCGGGTCAGACGTCTCTACGCAACAACAGCCCCGTGGCTGAAGTAGAAGATCTCAAGTTCCGCCAATCAGCACCGCCCCTTGTCCGCCCCCTTGTGAAAGCCGCCTTCTGATTGGGCACTCCAGTGCGAAACGGCATGGGATTGGATGTTTAATAGAGGGTGCCTGGGACTCAGCCTTTGGTGGCCTGCCAGTTTTGCTAAGGGAATGCTTAGGCCCTGCAGGTTGAGGCTTTGGACTCCGTAATTATGCCTTCAATTTTAAAAGTCAGAAATCCTGGACTGAATTAATCTGTGCAAAATTGAATTTGTCATATACTAATATAAGCATTTTTTGTAACTGAAGTGTTGAAGGGATTTGGAATAAATACAAAGACTTGTTTGTACAATCTGGTGTGGTGCTGTAGAATCAGCAATGGACTATCAACTACAAAGCTGACAGTTCAAACCCACTAAGCCTCTCCTCGGAAACCCTGTACAGCGTCGCTTTGAGTCAGAACTGACTCACTGACTCGATGGCACTTAACAATGTAAGTATTGTTTGTAACTGACAGATTGAGGGAATTTGGAATAAAATACAAAGGCTGGTTACACAATAAAGTACACCCGGTAATCTTACTCTTAAATTTTACTTCTTTTTGGTTTTTTTTTTAATTTTTATTCAAAGACGAGTTATTTGTTGTTCGGTGCCATTAAGTCAATTACTATTCCTGAATACCCCATGTGTTACAGAGTGGAACTGCTCCAAAGGTCGTCAGTACTGTGCCCTTGAATCATATGAGCAGGCCTGTCTTCCCAGGTGTCTCTGGGTAGTTTGAAACCACCAACCTTAATGCCAAGCATTTAATTGTTTGCACCACCCATATAGAAAAAAACATGCCTTTAAAAAAAAAATACAGAGAAATGAAATTTGACTGGTTCTTAATAATGTTAATCGTTTAAAAATTCATAGTAAGCAAGTTTAGCTTTTAGTAAGAGCCTTGTTGACTTAGCAGTTCCCCTTTTTTGAGTTTCTGTTATGTGGTAGACACCACTAGAAGGCTGTCAGGCTCTGGAATTTCATCTTCACCACCCCGTGATGAAAGTTTTATTATGCCTTATTTTAAAGACAAAGAATATAAAGCTTAAGAGAGATAAAAGCGACTTGTCTAATGCTTAAAACCTAGCTAAATGTCAAAACCTGCATCTCTGATCTTCTGATTTCAAAGCCTGGGCCCTAAACCACTATGCTACCCAAACTTTCTAAAAGAAATTGTCTATTAGACTACTAATAGAAGGCACCTTACTAGTCAACAAATGTTATGCTTCTGGGTACATGATATGTTGCCACTGCCCTGGAACCACTTTGTTACTGACTAAATAGCTCCGACAGAGTGCTGTGGCTCTGCTAACCACCAAGTCAGAAATCCAAGCCCACCAGCTGCTCCTTGAGAGAAAGAGGAGGCTTTCTGCTTCCATGAAAGACTTGCAGCCTTGAAAACTCTATACAGGGTTGCTATGAGTCGGAACCGACACAATGACACTTAACAACCACCACCACTGACTTTCACATTATTCCTGAGCTTCATTGGCCCATAGAGGTTCTAAGTGTAATGGCAATGGAGTAAGGGAGACTCTAGAATGGGGTTAGGGATATCATGTTACATATATTGTTGTTAAGTGCTGTCAGGTTAGTTCTGACCCATAGTGGCCCTAAGTATAGGGTTTCCAAGGAGCAGCTAGTGAGTTTGAACTGCCGACTTCGCAGTTCACACAGACCTTGAGGTCAAGTACATACCCAAAAGGGCCACACCAGGACACCATTACATATATATGTTCTTGTAACAAAGAAGCAGTGTATTTTGCATTTTGACATGAATATCAAAACATCTTACATTGGATTTATGTACATGTTGTTGTTGTTGTTGTTGTTGAGTACTGTCTGATTGGTAATAACTTTTAGCGACCCTATATAGGGTTTCCAAGGAGAGGTTGGTGGATCTGAACCATAGACCTTTCAGTTAGCAGCTTGATGCTTATACTCTCTGAAATTGCTTTTTGCTCCCAAACTAAACTAATATCTTTATTGCTTATTCTATCTTTCCCACTGTCCTATTCATGGCAATCATTCCAGATAGCTGGGCTCTAAATCTTTCTTTCCCTCCCTTACTTTCCAGTGAGAGGGTTACAGTTTCTCTAGCCTTGCTGTCTTTGCCTGTTTTGTTTTATCTTAGGAGAGGCTGGAACCTGGTGATTTTGCTCCTTTTCTGATTTCTCTGCTTCCTATCTGCATAGCCTTAGGCAAATTACTTATTTTCTCTGTTCCTAGGTTTCTTCTTACATAAACTTCATGTAATAACAATATCTCATGGGGTGTCATGGGGTATAGATATATTACACACTGTCTGGCACATAAAAAGTACTATAACTATACGATGATTGTCATTGTACCAAGTGAACATCTCCCCTCTGTCTCTCAACTTCTCAATCCACATGGTTTTCTTCGTCTCAATTTTATCTCCTTATAACAATTGTGAGGTTGGGGCAGTGTTTCATTCTGTTGTGCATAAGGTTGCTATGAGTCAGTAACTGACTTGATGGCACCTAACAACAATAACATTCTGTATCCCCTCTTGCTCTTTCAAAGAGCCCCTGGGCATCCTTTTTCCATGAAGCCTGTGGAACCCTCTTTAAAAGTCTATTTCCCTATTACATTTTTATTTTATACTTTCTTCTTTTTCTCTCTTAACTCTTTGTTTTTTTAATTGATGAACTAACTTCACTTATGAGATTAGTATTTAATATAAAAACACGCTGCAACAGTGTCAATACAAATGGAATGTTAATTTCCTGATTAACCAGAGAAAAACTACTTAGAGGGTAGGCATATGACTGGAAAGATATATTCAATTCTGGCATACTGTACTAAATTGGCTTCTTTAAAAAAACTGCAACAATATGTTTCTTCAAGTTTTAGCACCAGATAAATAAGATTTTGAAAAATGTAGTGTCATTTAAAAAGCTATGTCAAAAAGTAAAATATTTGGTCAGTTACTAATTAGTTTATGTGGTAAACAAACTGGATGATTTATTTTCCTTAGATGCTAGGATTTATCTATAAATATATCATCATCTTCAAATTAAAAGTTCTCAGTTTAGAAGTTTTGAAGAGGAAATTTCAAGTGAACTTGATTTTACAAAAGTGCTATAAGAAAGGAAAGGGAGGGCAATGCACAAGAAGGGAGAGAGGGTGGAGGTAGATAGGGGAACACTTAGGTAGGTTTGCATGGGCTAAATGGAACAGAGATAAATAGTGATGCATTCTCAACCTTGTAACAACAGGACTCTGCAATACAGGGATCGAGACATAGCCTGAATGGGTAAAAGAGAGGAAATAATGTTTAGATGCTTGATGGTCTTAATGGATATTGGTTTCCCTTGCTCACTATTGTAAAATAGATACTTAAGTTGGCTGGAAAGGAATATTGGTAAACATGATTATAGAAAGCTTATAAGCCCATCTTCAGCCTATAACTGATTGGAATATCTAAAAGGGGTTCTAGAACTTGCCCAGTGAAATAGGCTTCTTGCAGAGCCTTTGTAGTGATATGACCTTAGGTAGAATCCTGAGCCCCAACCAGAACCTTCTGATGTGGGACATTCTCACTGGAAAGGACAGCTAGAGGAACAGAAGATACTTCTTGAAAGAAAGACCAGCAGGAAAAAATTAAAATGGCAGTCTGTTTGGCTATTACGGGAACAAGTAAAATGTTCACTGGGGAGCCATCAAGGCAAGCAATCAAGTCCCTTCAGGACAAACCCCCCTCCTAGACTGAAACTCAAAGAGAACACATGAGCAGGCATCTAAGCTTGCTGGCATCTGCATTGGTCTACATGTGAGTGGAAGTTGGGGAAAGGCAGCAATGAAGATATGGGCTGAGTTTGACCACATTCCATAGACTCCTATTGACTTTAAGATGAAAGAGAGAAAAGGAAGGGCTGCTTCGTCCAAAGTTTGGGGAGAATTGGGAATTCCTGAGCCCATGGACAATGACCTAGCCACAGAGGGCTAGAGCTGAGAGTGACCCATCCAGCTGATATGAAGTGGCGGGAGATGCACAAGAATGCCCAAACTTACAGATAGTACCCATTGGTCCTAGCTTCAATGGCTTGGTGAACAGAACTTGACTAGAGGAAAATAAAGAAATTTAGTAAAGGAAGCAAGTGTAAATTGCTACAATTTGATGAACATGACCTATATTTGTGGATGCAGTCGCTCAAAATACCATCTGAGAGGGAAGGAGTCTTCACATCAAGGATCAAGCCTATCCCCTCTGTACACAGGGTTGATAGGGACAGGCAACTTAGACATTGGCTACATAAAATGGGGGGTGGGAGGGGTGGCTATAAAAGCACTAAGTAGCTTACAAGTTTTCAAGAGAGAGTTTAGTTTCAGAGTATGTGAGGGAAGGTAGAATCCCACTGAATAGTTTTCATCTTGTCTAGATGGGTCTGGTGAAAGAAGATGGGGATAGGATTCATTTGATTCAATAGTGAGTAATTGTTATCATGACTAATTGTGATTGTCACAACTATAAAGGTAGAAGTTGTGTAATGAAAAGGGGGACGTAGTTAATCTTACATGCCAGGAACAGAAGGACCCTAGGACCATTAAGGGAGAAGAGCATGAGTGGAATATGGGACCCTGTCCAGAGAAGCAGCAACACCAGAGATGGAGGCAGAAATGAGGACATGGAGAAGTAGAGCAGCCAAGGACTCTAGACTCATGGAAAGAGAAAAGCTGTGTGCTGGAGGCCAGGAGGCGGGCTTGTAGAATGTGCTCTTTGACTGTTTAAATGATTATATATTCCTGCACGTCTTTATGTATGGAAAAAATAAATAAAAAATAAAAAATAAATCCACAGCAGAGGGAATAGAAGCAAATACTGTTAACCTATGATGCATGGAGGGGATTGTAATCATTGCAA